CACACACACACACACACACACACACACACACACACACACACACAGTAATGTTTCTCAGCCACCAAGAAAAATGAGGTTAAATTATTTGCAAGAAAATGAACAAACACAAAAAATCATATTAAGCAAGTTAAGCCAGTCTCAGAGATACAAATATAGTCTCTCATGGAGTCCTTGGATTTATATGGTCAAATAAAACCGTGTGTGTGTGTGTGTGTGTGTGTGTGTGTGTGTGTGTGTAAAATGACAGCAGAAGGTGCCCACAGGAGCAAAGGGAACAAACAAGAGTGGAGAAGGACAAGCATAGAGAGAGCTCAAGTAGGAGGGATGCTCAATGTAAAAGGTAGGACTATATGAAAATTAAAAAGGAAATAAATTAAAATGTAAACACAATAATACTAAAGAAAAACAATAGCTTACTTTCTACTGACAAATATGCTTTTACTAAATGATCCCACTCCATCCTCTGAACTCATAAAGGTAGAAAGTGTCAGTCCTGGTCAACAGACAGGAAACCTGAAGTTGAGAGAAAATAAGCAAAGTCCCAAGATAAAGAAGCTGGTCAGTGCCAGAGCTAAGAGTTTGGATCAGTTCACAACTAAGATTTGAAGAGATGTTTGGAGCTGTGCATGGAAGGAAGAAGGAGAATAAAGAGCTAACTTTTAAATTTAGAAGTAGAGCAAAATGAATCTTCATAGTTCAAATAACTGGTTATTCACTTTAACTTTCAAAGAAAGCAAGCGATCTCCCTCAGGGTTTTTATTTGTAGATGTATATCTCAAGACTTCTATGTATTCGGTGCAGGCAGCAGTCTAAGAAAGAGGGTCACTGGTTGGATTGCAAGCTTACTGCAGCTTTATTTCCTGATATTTATCAGTATTGGCAAAGGTCAGAAAGATATGTTCCAGGGTTACTTGTTTGACAGAATAGTCTTCTAACTTGAACAGCACTTTAGCTTCCTCCAAAATTTCAAATACCTTAAAAAAACAGACAAACAAACAAGGACAAAGTTATCATATAGTATCTATAGGTGACCCTTCCTTCACTTGTCCTTCCCCAACCAGCACAAAAAGATAAAAGAAGCCACAAAACATAAGAGAAAATGATCAAAAAGCAGATAGGAAACAGCTATCTTGACTGCCACACCATTCTGCAAACACATTCTTTTTAGACAGAAATTTTACATGTACTCCAGGCTGGACTCAAACAGGAGATTCTCCTGTCCTAGTCTCCAGAGTCGAGGGATGGCAGGCCTGCCCATCCATGCCTACCTAACTACCACCATTCTCTTGTTGAACATGACATAATAATAGAATTTAGGGGTCAGAAGACTCAATTAAATTCAGGAGGCCTTGGGAAAGTAATAGATTCTCATTCCATATGCTTAAGTCCCAATGTTTTCTATTTGTCCTCTATTAACATATTAGATTGGCATGAATTTCACAACCACCTTTCCCCAGCAGATTTCCTTGCTTGGAATATAGTAGCCAATAGTCCCATGAAATTCCTGGTATTTGATGTTACCTAAGAAGAGAAAGATTTTTGACAAGTGAGTAATGGAGAGGACTATAGTGTTTCTTTGTAATAATTATAATGTTGATGATGATACAGTATTGTTTTATAGTGTTGGCTGGCATGGAACATACTAACCCAGGGTGATCTGAAACTTGCTATGTAGCCCAGGCTGATCTTGAATTTATGGTAACTGCCTCTGCTTATCATGTTCCAGAATTACAGGTGTGCACTGGATACTATTGGGAAGTTTTTAAAAACTCCTATGTAATTTCTATTTCAATGACCCTCATATATGCCAGAGAAAATATGTTCAATTAATACAAAGAATGATATAATCCTCAAGATTATAATCACTGACAGGGATGACCTTAGTTATCTCAATATATTTACTTTCTGAAAAAATACTACCTTATTAGTTATAGTCCCATGAAAAACTGCAGAGTTGGCTAATTAAATCTGGAAAAAAAATCATAGCTTACATGATCATTTGCAAAATCCAAGAGAAAGTGGGGAAGAGCCTCGAACACATAGACACAGGGGAAAGTTTCCTGAACAGGACACCAATGGCTTATGCTCTAAGATCAAGAATCAACAAATGGGACCTCATAAAATTGCAAAGCTTCTGTAAGGCAAAGGACACTGTCAATAGGACAAAACAGCAACCAACAGATTGGGAAAAGATCTTTACCAATCCTACATCTGATAGAAGGCTAATATCCAATACATACAAAGAACTCAATAAGTTAGTCTCCAGAGAACCAAACAACCCTATTAAAAATGGGGAACAGAGCTAAACAGAGAATTCTCAACTGAGGAAACGTGAATGGCTGAGAAGCACCTAAAGAAATGTTCAACACCCTTAGTCATCAGGAAAATGCAAATCAAAACAACTCTGAGATTCTACCTCACACCAATCAGAATGGCTAAGATCAAAAACTCAGGTGACAGCAGATGCTGTTGAGGATGTGGAGAAAGAGGAACACTCCTTTATTGTTGGTGGGATTGCAAGCTAGTACAACCACTCTGGAAGTCAGTCTGGCAGTTCCTCAGAAAATTGGACATAGCATTACCTGAGGACCCAGCTGTACCACTTTTGGGCATATACCCAGAAGACGCTCCAACATGTAATAAGGACTCATGTTCCACCATGTTCATAGCAGCCTTATTTATAATAGCCAGAATCTGGAAAGAACCCAGATGTCCTTCAACAGAGGAATGGATACAGAAAATGTGGTATGTTTACACAATGGAGTACTACTCAGCTATTAAAAACAATGAGTTCATGAAATTCTTAGGCAAATGGCTGGAACTGGAAAATATCATCCTGAGTGAGGTAACCCAGTCACAAAAGAGCACACATGGTATGCACTCACTGATAAGTGGATATAAACCCAAAAGCTTGCAATACCCAAGATACAATTCACAGACCACATGAAGCTCAAGAAGAAGGAAGATCAAAGTGTGGTTGCTTGGGTCCTTCTTAGAAGGGGGAACAAAATACTCATGGGAGGAAATATGGAGACAAAATGTGGAGCAGAGACTGAAGGAAAGGCCATCCAGAGACTGCCCCACCTGGGGATCCATCCCATATACAGTCATCAAACCCAAACGGGTGCTACTGCAGATGCCAGGAAGTGCTTGCTGACAGGAGCCTGATATAGCTGTCTCCTGAGAGGCTCTGCCAGAGACCCGACAAATACAGAGGCGGATGCTCAAAGCCAATCATTGGACTTAGCACGGAGTCCCTAAAGGAGGAGTTAGAGAAAAAACTGAAGGAGCCGAAGGGGTTTGCAACCCGGTAGGAAGAACAACGATATCAACCAACCAGACTCCCCACCGCTCCCAGGGACTAAACCACCAACCAAAGAGTACACATGGAAGGACCCATGACTCCAGCCACATATGTAGCAGAGGATGGCCTTGTTGAGCATCAATGGGAGGAGAGGCTCTTGGTCCTGTGAAGGCTCGATGCTCCAATGAAGAGAAATGCCAGGGTGGGGAGGTGGGAGTGGGTGGGTGGGTGGGTAAGTACTCTCATAGAAGCAGGGGGTGGGAATGGGATAGGAGGCTTCTGGAGGGGACAGGGTTACATTTGAAATGTAAATAAAGAAAATATCTAATTAAAAAAAACTTTCTTCTAGAAGTTGCCTTAGTCATAGTAATTTATCAGAGTGACGGAAAGTAACTAACATGTATAGCTTAGTGACTACACCCAATACTATAGCTGTCATCTGTGTTGTGACCAACTAATTTTCTCTTCCTTAAAGGCAACCACTTTCTAGATTAAGCACCTATGGTTTCTATGGTTAAGCATCTTTTAGCTTTCTTTATTGTATTATTTAAGAACAGACTCTTAAATATAATTGCTTTGTTTTGAATTCACCGTGCTTTACACAAAGACACACATATACTACATATTCTTTTAATTTCTATCTTTTAAAATATGTTGTAATATACAGCTATGTATCAGTAATTACACATCCAACACAAGGCTAAAAAGTATATGAAGAAATAAAAAAGCTAGATATCAAAGCAAATAATGCAATTAAAAATATGTACATATTTGAACAGAGAATCCTCAAAAGAGAAAATTCAAATGGCTGAGAAACAAAGAAATGTTCAACATCCTTATCTATGAGGGAAATGCAAGTTAAAACTACTTCAAGATTCCACTTTATACCTGTTAGAATGGCTATGATCAGAAACACAAGTGACAGTTTATGCTGGCAGGGATGTGGAGTAAGGGGAACACTAATCCATTGTTGGTGGGAGTGCAAACTTGTGTAGCCACTATGGGCAGTGTGGAAATTAGTAGGGCAGTTCCTCAAAAAATTTGGAATCAATCTACCTCAAGATCCGGGTGTATACCCAAAGGACACTTCATCCTATCACAAGGACACTTGCTCAATCACATTTATTGCTGTTCTATTTATAATAGCTAGTAATTGGAAATAACCTAGATGTCCCTTAACCAAAGAATGAATAAAGAAAATGTGGTACATTTATATGATGAGGTATTATTCAACTGTTAAAAAGTAATTATCATCAAATTTGTAGACAAATGGATGGAATTACAAAACATCATCTTGAATGAGGTAACTTATATTCAGAAAGATAGAAATATTGTCTATATTCACTTATATGTAGATATCGGCCATTAAATAAATGACAAGAAGTCAACTATAATTTGTAGACCCAGGGAGATTAGGTACAGAGGAAGGGACTAGGACATGGATCTCCCTGGAAGAAGGAAATAGAATAAATTTTATGGGTGGATTGGGTGCTGAGAGGGCAGGGATGGTAGGATCAGTTGGAGAGAGGGTGGGAAGATAGAGTTGAGGGAGGGGATGTGAGGAGAGACAGTTATAATTGAAGGTCATTTGAGGTCTGGTATGGAAACCCAGTAGAAATTTCCTAAAATATATGAAGGTGATTCTAATGAAGTCTCCAAATAGTGAGGGATCCTAATTGGCCATTTCTTGTCATCAAACAATGCTTCTACAACTGAGTCTGGGTTATAGCATGTTGAGTTCTTGGTCAAAAGGATCACACAGAAATTCTTAAACAACTCAGCCTGTTGCGAAGACAATAGGTTGCTCTTCACAAACTGACAGCAAGGTATACAACTCATGGAAATTCATAGAAAATTTGAAAATGAGCTTAGTATAAGGGTTCAATAATAAATATGAGCAATTCAATGAGAAGTATAATTGAAGACATGTAGCAGAATAGTAAATATGACTTAACAGTGATGAATCAACCACACCTATGTTACCTGGAAAAGTTGCTTTAATGAAACGTTTGAACTCTTGTACTTTATCTTCGTCCTTAGCAATATTGATCTTTACTGTTAGAGTGTATACATGACCAAACCTCTTTCTGACATGCTGGGGTGTGCCTAGGCATGTAAACCTCCCTTTCACCATGATGGCCAGCCTAGAACAGATGGCCTCACATTCTTCCATTCTGGGAGGAAAAAGAAGATATGTCTTAGGAGACTCAGGGAATACATTCAAACACCTAGGGTTAGAAGTCTTAGAACTAGAAGCCTTAGCATTGGTCACCACTAAGATCATATTTGGAAAGAGGACATTTGGAAACTTAAAGCAGCACAGCAGCACATACCCAAATCCTCATTGAATTAGCTAACTAGTATTTTCTCTTAGTTGATTGTATCAGTCAACTAAGCTCTCACATGTAGAAGGTTCACCCACAGTTGCTTCTCTGTAGCTCCTATGTTTAGGAAAGTTTGCTGACTCATAGTCCTAGCAGAAATTAATTTCATCCCATACCCATTGCAGCTTCTTCTAGTTTCCAGCCAAGCTTTCAATGGCTCTTACCTGTGGGAAGTTATGACGATAGCTTTACCAGTCTTACAGACACATGCAACTGTGTCCCAGAGCAGATGCTGAGCTACTGGGTCCATGCCAGTAGATGGTTCATCCAGGAAGACAATTGAAGACTTTCCCATTAGGGCAATAGCAGTGCTTAGCCTACGTTTGCTTCCAGCACTCCATAATGTGAAGAAGAAAAAGTAATATATGTCATTAACTCATAGGATTTTTTGTACATTCAGGTTACTGGATATGACTCAAAACTGATGATTCAAGTGTGTGTGTATGTGTGTGTGTGTGTGTTATCTCCATGGAGTTACAGAGATTCTTTTTTTAATGTAAAAATTGTTCAAATATGCAAAAGGTTAGCTCCATTCAAGTTCCACATGGGATATGTTGTTTTCCTGATGTCTGAGCTTATCAGGGTGCTAGGTTATTTTAGTCACTTGCCTCCATGTGCCAGAGGTAGAGGTGGGCTTTGTGGGCATTCACTCTAAACAGTAGAAGCACAGGATCATTTACTTAATAGCAATGACACAATGTCTCACCTGTATGTGTGGATAAACTGGTCAGCAATTGGTTCCAAGTGCACTGAATGCAGAAAGGCTTCCACATACTCATTAATGTCTTGCTCTGGGACTCCCCACAACCTAGCGTACATGACCAACGATTCCCGGCCTGTCATGTGGTTCATCACAGATTCAGACTGAGGACAGTAACCAATTCTTGACCTAATCTGAATCCAAAAGGATAAAGATGAGTAGTAGATTCATGTCAGCTCTTCCACAGAGTATAAATCTCATAGGTTTGAGGGACAGCATGTGAAGCTGTTTAACTCATACTACTAAGAATGTTTGATACTCCTACAATTCCATAGGAATTGTTTATTCTTCTACCTTTAGCATTTTTATAGATGGAGTTCAGTGAAATAAAAGAAGACATCAATATCACTAGCTGGAATTTCAACATATATGTACTGTATATTACTACTATGTGCCCCAAATAGGCCTTTGTTTGTTAGATGAAGTTGCCTATTCAAACACTTGTTTGAGTGTTTAAGAAGAGCTAGTTATGTTAATATGCCAATTAAAGTATTTTGCTTACAGCAAAGGTCAGCTAATCTCTGCCAGATCAGCTCTCTCACAGACAAGAATTATAAGCTACCTGTACATATATAGAGGTATATATTTTTATGTATTTAGCCAAGTTAGTACTGAAAGAATTAGGGCAACTTATCACTTCATGAATAATGTAGAGTAAAATTTACAGTGCAAATTCAGACTTCTCAAATGCCAGTTAAAATACTTAAAATTCTTTGAAAGAATATAGCAGGATTGACACTCGCACAATGCATCATTAATAATGTCCAGGATATAATCTAAAATTAATTGGCAAAGATGTATGCAAATTAACCACACACCAGTGAACACAGTAGAAACTGGGACTCAACCACAATACTGGAATAATCAGGGCAATTTTTTTTTTTGGGGGGGATTATCATTCTTTTTTTTTTCTTTTTTTTTATTGGATGATTTATTTACATTTCCTATGTTGTCCCCTTACCCCATCCCCCACCACCTCCTCGGAACCCCCAATCCCCTCGCCCCTCCTCCTTCTTCTCTGTGGATGTAACCTCTATCTACCCCCCCCCCACTCCCACCTCCCCACCCTCAAAATTCCCACCCCCTGGGGCATCCAGCCTTCATGAGGTCAAGGTTCTCTTCTTCTACCTATGCCCAGCAGGGCCCTCCACTTTTACATATTCAGCTGAAGCCCTGGATCCCCCCCTAAGTGCTCCCAGGCTGGTGGTTTAGACCCTGGGAGCTGTGGTTGGTTGGTATTGTTGCTCTCCTCATGGTGCCATAAATCCTTTCAGCTCCTTCAGTCTTCACTCTAACTCCTCTATTGAGAACCCCATGATCAGTTCAATGGCTAGTTGTGAGCATCTGCCTCTGAATATGTCTGACTCTTGAAGGCCTCTGAGGAGATATCCATATCAGGCTCTTATCAGCATGCACTTCCTGTCTTCCACATCAGCATCTACCTTTGGTGATTGCACATGGGATAGATACTCAGGTGGGGTGGTCTTGAGACGGCCCCTCCTTCAGTTTCTGTCCCTCACTTTGTCTCCATATTTGCTCCCTTGAGTATTTTGTTGCTCCTTCTAAGAAGGACCGAATCACCCTCACTTGGTCTTCCTTCTTTATGAGCTTCATGTGGCCTGTGAGTTGCATCTTGGGCATTTCAAGGTTCTAGGCTAATATCCAATAATCAGTGAGTGAATACCATGTGTGTTCTTTTGTGATTGGCTTACCTCACTCAGGATGATAATTTCTAGTTCCATCCATTTACCTAGGAACCTCTCGAATTCATTGTTTTTAATAGCTGAGTAATACTCCATTGTGTAAATATACCACATTTTTTGAATCCATTCCTCAGTTGAAGGACATCTGGGTTCATTCCAGCTCCTGGCTATTATAAATAAAGCTGCTATGAACATAGTTGAGCATATGTCCTTGTTATATGTTCGAGCATCTTCTGGGTATATGCCTAGGAGTGGTATAGCTGGATCCTCAGGTAATGCTATGTCCAATTTTCTGAGGAACCGCCAGACTGATTTCCAAAGTGGTTGCACCATCTTGCAGTCCCACCAACAATGGAGGAGTGTTCCTCTTTCTCCACACCCTCGCCAGCATCTACTATCACCTGAGTTTTTAATCTTAGCCATTCTGACTGGTGTGAGATGGAATCTCAGGGTTGTTTTGATTTGCATTTCCCTGACGACTAAGGATGCTGAACATTTCTTTAGATGCTTCTCGGCCATTCAAGTTTCTTCCGTTGAAAATTCTTTGTTAAGCTCTATACCCCATTTTTTAATAGGGTAATTTGGTTGTCTGGAGTCTAATTTCTTGAGTTCTTTGTATATATTGGATATTAGCCCTCTATCAGATGAAGGATTGGTAAAGATCTTTTCCCAATTTGTTGGTTGTCGTTTTGTCCTATTGACAGTGTCCTTTGCCTTACAGAAACTTTGCAATTTTATGAAGTCCCATTTGTCAATTCTCGATCTTAGAGCATACGCCATTGGAGTTCTGTTCAGGAACTTTTCCCCTGTGCCCAAGTATTCGAGGCTCTTCCCCACCTTCTCTTCTATTAGATTCAGTGTATCTGGTTTTATGTGGAGGTCCTTTATCCACTTAGACTTGAGCTTTGTACAAGGGGATAAGAATGGATCAATTTTCATTCTTCTACATGTTGTCTTCCAGTTGAACCAGCACCATTTGTTGAAAATGCTGTCCTTTTTCCACTGGACAGTTTTAGCTCCTTTGTCAAAGATCAAGTGACCATAGGAGTGTGGGTTCATTTCTGGGTCTTCAATTCTATTCCATTGATCTTCCTGCCTGTCTCTGTACCAATACCAGGTAGTTTTTATCACTATTGCTCTGTAGTACAGCTTGAGGTCAGGGATGGTGATTCCTCCAGAAGTTCTTTTATTGTTGAGAATAGTTTTCGCTATCCTGGGTTTTTTGTTATTCCATATGAATTTGAGAATTTCCTTTTCTAACTCTGTGAAGAATTGAGTTGGGATTTTAATGGGGATTGCATTGAATCTGTAGATTGCTTTTGGCAAGATGGCCATTTTTATTATATTAATCCTGCCAATCCATGAGCATGGGAGATCTTTCCATCTTCTGAGATCTTCTTCAATTTCTTTCTTCAGAGACTTGAAGTTCTTGTCATACAGGTCTTTCACTTGCTTGGTTAGATTCACACCAAGGTATTTTATATTATTTGCAACTATTGTGAAGGGTGTCATTTCCCTAATTTCTTTTTCAGTCTGTTTATCTTTCATGTAGAGGAAGGCTACTGATTTGTTTGAGTTGATTTTATAACCAGCCACTTTGCTGAAGTTGTTTATCAGGTTTAGGAGTTCTCTGGTGGAAGTTTGGGGGTCACTTAAGTATACTATCATATCATCTGCAAATAGCGATATTTTGACTTCTTCCTTTCCTATTTGTATCCCTTTGACTTCTTTTTCAGAGGCAAATTTTAAAGAAACTCTTACAACTATCCTTAAATGAGGATAATGAAAAGGCTTCTATTTCAGATAAGTAAGAAAACACCACACAGAAAATAAAACCACAATAAAGAAACAAATAAAAATTCCTGAGCTAAAACTTATGTTTGGCACCTTTCTGGATGTTTTAATGATACATAGGGAGTTTATGAATTTCAAGAATGTTGCTCTACTGAGTGTTGATGTGGTAGATACTGTAGATAAAATTACCCATGGCCTGAGGTCAATATTTCTATTTTGGTCAAGCTTCAAGAATGGCATATATAGCTTGATCATGCTAGCTGTTTTTGTCCTGGGAATACTTTTATTCTTGCCCATTGTGTTGAAGTTTTTCTTTAACAACATCAACATGATGGCAGCCAAAGTACATGCCTTGATCCTGAAAATGGACTCCCAGACAGAGTTATTAATTTAACAGGCTGGCAAGCCAAGGACAGGTAAGATTCTGCACAGAGCCTTACCAACCTAAGACAGAAGTGCATTGCTTTTGATAATGCATGTTCCATGATGGGTAAGGAAGGCATTCTTGTCAGAATGACCTAAGACAGACTCACTTTTATTAATGAAATAAGAAAGGGGGAGAAGCAGAGAGCCTTTGGGGATGCTTGGCAAGAATCTGACATGGGCCAAGGACAAGGAAATAGGCTTCAGTCAGGAATCGGATATTAGGCTAGAACAAAGAAGTAATTTCAGGCAGGAATCTAAATCTTAGGCTAGAACAAAGAAGTAATTTCAGGCAGGAATCTAAATATTAGGCTAGAACAAAGAAGTAATTTCAGACAGGAATCTAATTTTAGGCTAGAACAAGGAAGTAGGCTGAGACATGAAAATGACTTTGGGCTAGGACAGGGAAGTTGGCTCAGATATTTTGATCATCCTGATAAGCCCTTAGAAACAGTGATCACAGGAGTGTTCCAGTAATTGGGTTTAATGGCTTGTTTGTTCCTTGACTATTTGCATCTATTATATTGCTAGACCCTTAACCTAGAACTGACCTTCATATATGCATGTAATTAAAGTGGTATAAAAGCAAAAAGGAGGAGGGGATAGAATAGGGGGTTCTAGGGAGGGGAAATGGGGAAAGGAGATGGCATCTGTATTATAAATAAACAAAATATCCAATTTTCTTTTTTTTTAAAAAAAACTTATGTTTGGGGGCCTAGGGAGGTGGCATAGTTGGTAACATGCTTTTCCTCCAAGCCTGAAGACTGATGTTCAGATCCTTAGCCCTCACATAAAAAGCTGGGCCTGGCAGTAGTGGGGGAGAGGTAGATCCTGAGGGCTTGCTTGCCAGGAAGCCTAGTCAACTGGTCAACTTCAGCTTCAGTGAGAGACTTTGACTCAAAAATTAAGGTGGAAAAATGACTGAGGGAGATACCCAATGTTGATCTCTGACTGCTCCAAACACAAATGTATGAACATGTACCCACACAACTATTCATACATATAAACATGTACATATAAATAAAATAATTATGTCAGGAATAAAAAAATAACCAAGTAAAATTAACATGAAGTCAACTTTAATTTGAAGATAAAAGAATAAACTAGTCAGCATGTATATGTGTACAATCAAACAGAAAATATATAGGAAAATGAAGAGAAACACAGGACCTCCGGAGTGCCCTAAAGAAATGAGCATATATAGAAACAGACTC